GGCCCGCTGTGCCAACCCCAGGCGAAGGTGCAGCCCCAGCAATTGCTCGCTCACGCCACTGCGGGCGAAAGGGCCTTCGCTCGAGGGAACGCTTAGAGGACTCCTCCAGAGGGCACGCGGCCTCAACTCTTCCACTGTGGCAAGACGTCACGGATCAACGACCACCACCACCACATGCAACCAGCCTCAGGTTCAAAGGAAATCGCATTAATTCACTGGCTTATCAGTGCCACCCCCGCCTCCCACCACACCACACACACCTGCATAGTAAATTAAACCACACACACACACAAAAGGGGGCGGGGGGGGCAAGGAGTGAATAACCGAGCGACGCAAAAAATAACGAAATGAATCCATAAATCCCTGATTCTTAACGCAACCGAGACGGTGCGACTCAACACAGACGAGGCCGTAGTGGCCGGCTAAAGTGATGCACTCTGGGTCGGCGAGCGGCGGGGTTCCTGCATGAAAGGACGAGTTAAAGCGTGGCCGGCCTTACAAACTACAGCTGTCTGCCATCTGTGGATTCCGAGCCAGCCCCACCACCACCACCACCAGCCGCCCCCCCCCCTCCACCATCCTCAGCCCCCCCGCCCGCCACTCCTCCCACCGCTTTGTCCCGTCCCATGGCAGAAGGCGCGAGTCCCCTGACGGCTTTAATTCGATTGAGGCCCAAAAACGAATAAAAGCCAGCGTCTGGGCGGGTGATGCAGAGGATGGGGGTGGGGGGGTATCGGCCGCCAGGGATTTAGACGACAAAGGTATGAACATACCGCAGGGGAAGAGAATGCAAGGGGGGGGGGGGGTGGAGGGATTCCCCCCAACCTCCCAACTCCTTTTCTTTCCCCAACTCTCATCTGTGATGGATGTGCATCGCATTACACGTTTGTGTTATCGCTTGTTTTGAGACTCGGATCTCCGTGGTTTGAGTTGCAATATCGTATTTCATTCTAAGTTGGGTGTCGTCTCTTTCGTGTTGTTGTTGTTGTTGCTGTTGTTTCAAACTTGGTATGTTTGTTTTCCGTCCTTGCACACTTAAGATATTCTGATTAAATTTGATATATTTCAGATCGTGTGTTGAACTTGTGTTATAAAGTGAAGTACGTTCGAACATGTGCGTTGTGAGGATGTTCAGTAATTGTGTGTGTTCTTACTATTGCCACCTTTGCTGTGAAGATATTTAGCTAAAAATGTTATATTGCACTTTAGAACCCATTTGCAGTTGTGACGTTTTATCATGATGTTCATTTTTTGCTGTTAAAATGAATTTATTTCACCTCAAGGCTTCGCTTTCAAAACGTCTGATCTCAATGGTGTCTGACCTAGTCGTAAAGGAAATGAAATATAATTGAATATGAATTATACATCAAAATAGATTTGCCAAATGTCCCAAGTAGGATTCTGGGTTAGCGTTCAAAGAGCGAGTCGGGGACACTTACGATCGTATGGGTCAATTCATCAGTCTCGAATTGAACGGTAAAGTTTCACGTAAAAAATTCACGGGCAAATTAAATACGAGTAAAACTTCACGCAGCACACAAATTGTTGATGTGAATAACAACTCGACCACCCAGCCCCCCCCAGAAAAAAATCCTCAAATTAATCTCAGGACTCTTTATCAGGATGGTGCCGCGATTAATTGTTTGAAACACGCCTTTATCTTCCCAAGTGGGAGCACATCTTCACCACCGGAGAATATAGAGACACAGCGGGCAAAGTGTGACAACAATCTACTTTCTGCACTGCCTCCGAATATTATCATTTTAAATACGTTGTTGAATCTACTCACACAGTGCTTTGCCCTATGACTAAATCACCCGGAACGCACCCGCTTGCTTCAGAGTTCAGAGAAAGCAAGCTAAGCAGGCCTGAGTTTGGATAGTTGCTCGGATGCGCAATCAACACTGCGCGCTGGTTTGCAGGGTCACGTGCTAAGGTGGGCAGTAGAGGGCAGTGCAGCAGAGTGTACAGCCCTGCTGCACTGTGAGCCTCTGCTTCCACGTCTACCCCCCCCCCCCCCACCATTCACTGACCTGCACTGAGCAGCATGGTGAAATATGGTTAAATAATCCCCTTGACCCTGAACGGTATGGGGGAGGCCCTCATCAGCCAGCGGTGGAATTGACACAAAGGGCGGTGCATCTGTGCAGGATGCTCTATGCACGTCACAAGTGAAGCGGCCAAAAAAAACAGTGGCAGCGATAGATAAAGAAGACGAGCCCAACGCCGCATATCCGCCCCGACCGATCAACCTCCATACCCGTGGAGGCGTATCTGTATTTACTACAGACGCTCACACATCCGACCTAGTCCCGTATATCCGCCCATACCTCAGTCCCCAGCGAGTCGGATATGCGACGTTGTTACCGCAAGAGGTCTTCTCGTGGTTGTGAGCCGAGCAATACGAAGGAGGGATTTTGCGATCGCGTGGTTTTTTGAGCGGCGGCCGTCACATCCGGGCAGCTACGAGGGAATCTGAGTGGACCCGTGGCCACTCGCCCATCGGTCACGGAGACCCAATCCAAGCCCCCCCCCCAGCCAAAGCGTCCACTGCTCCGGTCCCATGACTGTAGGTGAAGATTAATGATCGACACCTGTGTGCCAGCGCTTCACAGATGACATATTTTCAAATCTAGTTTGAAAACAATGTCTCTAGAACTGCTTTTGTGTGTTAGTTTGTTGTCCTTCCCCCGGACCTCTGATTAGCACGGTTGGCTAGGTACAGTGCGAAATAAGTTCAACAACAACCGCTATTCGCCACTAATGAGCGGTGACATCACCACGACGCTTGTGCCAGGCTATGTGCACTTTAAGGCCACGTAAAGTGTCAAACGCCCGCCGGCAGGAGGTCACGGGACAGCCCCAGGTGCCATGGATTGACTGACCGACATGAGCCTGGATAGTTCTTAGATGGGTGAAATTCAACATACACGCACGCACACACACAGCAGGGGATTGACTGATGACGCTAAACCAGCAGCACCGGTGGAGGGCCTCTGAGCCACCAGACATGTAAAGCGGCAGCAGATGTCCTCTGGTTTTGGACGGCCTCGGATAGGCGGTGTTGAGGTGGAGTTTTTTTTTGGCGGGGGGGGGGAGATATTTTTCAATGTTTAGGTGTCATCCTGTGTGGGGCTTTTTGTTTGTCTGCGGGAGTGGGTAGCTGGAGGGTCGCGGCCGGCCTGCTCCGATTCAATCTGTCGACATGCACTCTCCGCGATGGGTCCCGCAGGAGATCAGGGGATGGGTTGCGCAGCCGTCATCGCGTGGATTCACCACCACGAGCCGCTCCCGGTCTCCCTCCGACAGCTGCAGGGGCAGCAGCGGCAGCTGCTGCTGCTGCGTTCTAGCTCCGTCCATCAGCTCCCCGCCCCCCCCTCCTCCTCCTCCTCGCTCCAACCCTAGACCTCCCGTCACCGCCGCCACGACCACCAACCACCACCACCAACCACCACCACCACCGTCCGACACGAGCCATTCCAGCCAGCGGGCAGCGCGGCACAATGGCGAGTGACGCTATAGCAAAGCTTAATGACCGTCTGTCCGCGGACAAGAGGCGCTCAAAAGGACCCGCAGCGAAGAATGAAGAATAACTCCATCTGTCACGTCTTGGGCACAATGCAATGGAGGGGAGAGAAGAAGAGAGGTCTGGGCGTTGGGGGGGAGGGGGCGCGGGGGGACGCTGGCGGGATGGAACCCCTGAAGGCTCAGGGTGCGGCACACACTTCTTGTTCCTCTGCTCAGACGTCCACCCCACCCCCCTCGCCGCTTTTGTCCCCTAATCGCGCCCCTCTATAGCAACCCCCCCCCCCCCCCCATGCCATCTCGACATTGTCCGTGGGCGGGCGGGATCCTTTGCTTCATTAGAAGCACGCGCCATCTGTACGTCCACGCGGGGGCAGCCGGGCCAAGACCCCGGCACGCGTGTCGAGCCGGCGACACGCGTCGAGGTGGCCGGCGACACGCGTGTCGAGCCGGCGACACGCGTCGAGGTGGCCGGCGACACGTGTCTAGGTAGCCGGCGGTGGTGGCGGCACCCCTGTTTCAATCTTAGTCCACAGATAATTGTCTCGAGTGTCTCTTCCAAAACACATCAGTCATGTTACGTCCGCTGCTGGACGAAGGGCACTCCAAAACATCACAGGCTCGCAGGAGAGTTTTCGCAGCACTGCAACGGCCAATAAAAACTGTCGGCCTGTTTTGCAATGTTTTTTTTTAAAGCACAACATATTTTTCAAGAGCACTACTTACTGCCTTTAAAGGAAAATAATATAACACGCGACGTTTCGGCCAATAGCCCTTCTTCCCAGCACATAAAGAGGCCATCGAAGAACAGCGATGTTTAAGGTACTGTCTGTTTGAGAGAGAGAGAGAACAAAAATAACTGTTTACGTTTGCAGCAACAACAAAATGTGACGTGGGTAACCAAACACTCCGGTGTGCCACCAGAGATACGCACAGCTGGTCTCCCAAGCGGGGCGAGGCGTATCCCCCGAGTTGATAACACCAGCGCATGTTCTTTTCATCTTATCCCTCAAATCCCGTCCCAGTTGTGCGATCGGTGTCGCGTCGTGAGACCAGACACCCATTCCGAACGCTCACAGAGCAGCGCAACCCTTGGTCTTCAGAGAACGGCCCGCGAAAGCGGATATCGCAGAACTACATTTGAGATCCCTTTTGAGTGACGCCTGGTCCACACATTAGGAGGCAGCACTTCCCGATATATCGCAGAAAACAACGCTCGTCGCACAACAGTCAAAACTGATATAGTTAGTTTATTGTCATGGCTGGAATTGAATAAAATTTAGTCGTTCTGACCGCACTGAGACCATCAACTCTACAATTTAAAACCCACTCTAATCACGCGTGGCCAAAACCTGGATTTGAACCCGGCACTTTTGTGGTGCCAGCTCAGCGCTCTGTTCTCTGAGCCACCCCGGTGACATCCCGAGGTTCCGCCGCGTGCCGCGCGCCACGCGCAGTGCCGTGCGCCGTCCTACCTTGGTGCTGTCCTCCACAACTCTCAGTCCATCGGCCGACACCCACAGCATGGCCCGCGTCTTCTTCTGACCGCTCTGGAAACAGAGATAAACGCGACGGCAATGGGCGGGGGAGTTGACTTCGCATGCACCGGTGAAAGAGATGAAGGTCGTCGTCCAACAGCTCTGCTGGGTGAAGTTGTCCTGTGCGATGGCGAAGCCAATTGTGGTCTGAAACCACTTCAAGGAAAGCAGGAAACGACGAGGCGGATTTTCATTGCCTCTCTCTCTTTCTCTGTCGGCGAGACTGCGTTCGATTTGTAGCGATGTCTCCCGCAACAGTTTCCTGGCTTAGCCAGTGAAGTTCGTACCAAGGAGCTGGTGAAAACGCACTGGCGCTACTAAAACCCCTCACCTCCATCCAGATGAAAATTCTCACTGTGATAAATTAAGGTCGCATTCAACGGTTTTTCTCTTTTTTCTCATCTAAAGAGTCATCGGAGCCGGTGTAAAGAGTCCTTCAAGACTAAAGACTGCACGCATCGCGAGCTGTTGCTGCTCTTCGCTTGCCGCGAGGACACCGATTAATTCTAGATTTGAAGCTTTCATGACTGCAAGGATTCATACTTTTAGGTTTTTTTCGGTAAAGTCACGTAGGTAAAAAATAAAAGTAAAATTAAATAAAAATCACTTATTTTACTTTTATTTATTTAAATTTTATTTTTTACCTACGTGACTTTACCGAAAAAACCTAAGAGTATGAACACCGATTAAGATTGTAAGGCGTCTTGAGACATCAGTGGAAGGCGCCTTACAAACAAATGTCAATTATTAATATTATTATTAATGTCTGATTGGCTGGGACGGAGGAGGGGCTCTTCCTGCTGAGCTCACGCAACGGGCGCCGGTCTCCTGAAACTGAGGCTCAAGGCTCGTGTTAGTCAACGTTAAAACATCACGAGGAAACAACATGCGGGCGAACGGTGTTAGTTGCATGCTAACGAAGGCCGCGCGCGCGAACCCACAGCTCCCAGTGAGCTCATCAGTCATCAGTCCCCCGTGCAGCGTTAGCTCACGAGCACCTTGCCCCGTGCTTTAGCTTTCGTGAAAATGCCACCTTTGAGCTGACCCGCACTCGTGTTATGCGCGGTGTCATTATTATTATTGCGGATTGATTGGTAGATGTACACTTGTTACATTGTTATGGTTGTTTGTTGTTATTTATTCGTCATGTTTGTACAAATTTCTCACATTTTTTGTTCCATGCAAACCCCCTGTACGCACCAATCCATTCTCACGTCACGAGCTCACTCTGGACGGGTCGCCTTTGAACAAGAGATTCTCATGCTCATGGGGCCTCACCCCAAAAAAATGTAAAGACGTCTGAACTGGCTGACCCCCACCATGGCTAGGCAATGCAGCTGCACAGTTGACTTCTGAGTCGATGCAAAGTATCGCACTATTTGGAGATTTATGTTGTTGCAGTGGTGTTAATTTGTCATTTATATTCCAGTTTTTCATTCCAAGTCTTATTGAAACTGCAATTCAGGAGTCAGCGTTGACTGTGTGTTATTAACGGTTTCCCCGCTCTCATGAGTGAGTTTTCAAATGATGTTATTACACAGTTTTGAGAAATTATTAGTTTTTTTTACATTTCTGATGTTTATATTTGCGTGTTAGCTCCGCGTCCTTTTTATATTCAGTGGCAACAAAATTCATGAAAGCACCACTGTGGCCGAGAGAGCAAAAGTTATTTCAAGAGAAATGTATTTTTCATGAGGAGGATGTGGCAGACGACAAACAACCGTGCACGGGCCACCCGTGCACGGTGTGTACTGATGAATCAGACATCTGTCTAAACCATTTTTTGTTTACTTTTTTTTTTATTTTACCAGCCAAGGGCCCCCTGAGCTACGTGGGCTCTTTTTCAGAAGCGACCTCGCCACAAATGATAGCTCAACGAAGTGGCCTGTCACGTGGAAATTGATAGCGGCCAAATCATTGAACGCACGTTGATTCTAAGTGTGGAGGGCGAAGCTGGAAGGACCCGGAAGACAATCCACGCGACCACGGGGAGAGAGATACGCAAACTCCAAATATACAGCAGCAGGCGTCAGGGTTGGGATTGAACCCATGACCGCCTGTATACCAGGCGAGGTAATTAACATCTCGCCACCGTGGGTGCCCCATGTCTACTTCACAACTCCCTCTGGAATTTTTCCGCGAGTGGTTTTCACCCTGCTTGGACATACGGCCGTGTGCGCGACGGACAATCGTCGTCTTGAGGTGGCCTCATTCACAAACATCGAAGGCCGCTTCGCACCAACACGAGGGCGCATTGAGAATGCGGATCCAGTTAGCCGCATCGCGTCGTCTACGCGTATGCCCTCGCGAGAGGAGGAGAATGTGCCGCTTTGCTAATAGAAGCGCACGCCTGCCCGCCCACGAAACACACAGGTCGTCGCGGCGCCACGATCGATCTGGTGGTAAACTTTGAACGTGTTTAACCGACCCTAATATTTTCCCACCCATTTTCCCTTCCCAAATCCATCCGAATCGCTCAACCTCTCCCGTTCTTACCCTTGGTTGCAAACAAAAAATATAAACTATGGATGCCGTTGCGTCGGTGAATTATCGCGCGTCATAGTAGCACAGGGCATCTGCGTGGTGGGGCACAAGGCGCTTGCTGCCTTCCAGACCGTCAGCTTGCAGCCAGCGCCCTTAAATGGCTCAAGAATCCGGACGCCAAATCATACCGAACGTCGCTCTTCCAGTCATCGAGTTTCCTCTCTCTGCAACGCACCGTACACGCCGCAGCTCAATCTTCCGAGCATGTCTTCTCGTTTTTTTGTTATTGTTTACCTTCTCCGAATGCGCTGTTGATGTGTGTTCGCTTGTGCGCGTGCAATGCTATTAGTGTGTTTGGCTGTGATCTACACGAAATAATATCATTATCAATAATTAATAGAATCACAATTACCTTTTCTATGGCAGAAGTAGCCAGCTCACAAATAATTATTCAGAGGCAACATAACTGAGAAACAACGAATGATACACATCCCGTATGTCTGTACGCACACTGTCCTTCTGTTCATTTTACATTGAACAAAAACGTCCCAGAACAATGATTGTTGTTTCGCGATGGTGGGCATCGACTCCGGCAGGCAGAGAATTACGGAGGGGGGCTTCGGTGTTAATTGGTTTCGCCGCTGCACTCGTTATTTTTGTCCGCGAGCTGCCGCTGAGTGTGAACACGTGGGCACGTCCGTGAGCTATGGGCACGTGCAATGCACTCGGGAGATTACGGAAATACATTCCGATGCAACGGAGCAATCCCCCAGCTTGGCTTTTTTTTCTTCCTCATTTTCTGCTCAAGGATTCATCCCGTGTCCGTATGTTACCGCACTACTTATAAGCGGTCTGGCCAACGTGGAAGACAATGCCAAAATACTACCCCCTAGAGGGGCCACACCTAGAAGCTGAATCTAGTGAGGAGGCCTTTCCGCCATGAGTGGTGTTCGTAAGCATTTGAAGGGCTGTACGTTTATCATGAATGAATATAAATAAATGCACTATGAGACATCTCCTTTACCAGTGGCAAAATATAGTAATAGGTTTTTACCCTTTCAACTGGTACAAAAACTGACACCTTTATACAAGGCATCATGTTTGCAATAACCACAACACAAGCAATCAAAATACAAACAAAAGGAACAACTCTGATGATGATAATGATATGCAAACATGATGCCTTGTATAAAGGTGTCAGTTTTTCTACCAGCTGAAAGGGTAAAAACCTATTACTATATTTTGCCACTGGTAAAGGAGATGTCTCATAGTGTAAATGCTTACCCCGAGCTCTCAATACTCTGATAGTGTGCTGTCTTTGAGTTGAACGCCTTATGGCGTCATCTGGTCCAACACCAATGGACACTAGGCTCTAAGAAAAGCTGTCTCGGGTGTGGACCAATCAACTTCAAGGACAGTGCATATCATTATCATCATCAGAGTTGTTTCTTTTTGTTCGCATTTTGACTGCTTGTGTTGTGGTTAATTCAAACATGATGCCTTGTATAAAGGTGTCAGTTTCTGTACCAGGTGAAAGGGTAAAAACCTATTAGTATAAATAAATGCACACAAAAAAGTCTGCCAATTGTCAATACATCAATGGATGTAGGCTTCCCCATGCCATGTCGATCATGGGGTTTTCTATTTGACCATACTTCGCCGTGTTGGTCAGTGCGGGGCTTGGTGAAGTGAGGTTCGGGCACGACTGCTTCAGATATCACTCGGCACCGATGTTACGCTCTCACTGGAAATCGAACTCGGGCAGCCGGAATCATAGCAGAGCGCCGCTAACCAACGGTAGGCCGCTCCACCTCACGTTCCCTTATCGCACTCCTCTTCACGATTTTATAGAGGCGGGGGGGAGCCACGGTTAAAAAACACACGCTCTTCAATCAGTAGTTATTCCAAACGCCGCCAAACATTACAGGGCAAACCACCACCACAAGTGGACGTGCGAGATGTTATTGGCATGCGGTTAAAAAAAAACGCGTCTCGCGTTAAAACGGGGGAAAGATCTGCGACGGGCGCTCTCTGCCGTGTCACCACTTACTCTGGAGAAGAACGATATCGGAAACTTGTGACTCTGTCGTGGCGAGGAGAAAGGTACAACATCGCACATGAGACGGCGGCTGATCTCCCCGTTATCAGCGCGACGGGAGGGGGACTGCGGTTACCGATGTTCCCTGAGACTCGCGCCAACGAAGTGGCAGAGGCAGTCCCCCAGCACAAGTGAAGAAACCGCAATGCAAATACAGAGCCAACTCTGCGCAGGTATCACGAGGTTTTTGGGCTACATCCGCTGGAAATCACCATTTCGACCGAATGGTCGTTCCACTCGAAATCTCTCGGAAGCAACGGTCAGGCACCCAGGGTGCAAGTGCAAGCGGCCGCGAGGTGAATTGATCTTTAGTTCTGTTTGGGGCTTCATTGCCGAACCGGTGAAATATTGCTGGGAAATTGCACTGCCGATGGAAGCTATCCACAGTGAACAAATTATTCAAATAAATTAGCAAAAAAGCAGATTTAATGATAGAAAAAAAACTAAAAAGTTAACAGTCGCCGAACGAAAGAGGGGTTATGCACACCCCCCTCTTCACAGCCCTGAGCCAGTGGTGGAAATTCCTCATTCCTATGGCAGGGGTGAGTTATTCTATGGGACGCCAATTGTTGACTTGTTATCGACTCCAGAGAGTTGAATGGTTTAGTCAACCCCTGATCGGGACTTGAACTCTTGCATTGACACTTGAATGTGCCGTATGTTGCTGACCGTTTGGCATTTTGAGTCTCAACTACTATGATGTAATACGTAACAAAAAAAACTTCCGTCTGAGTAATTTGAAGTGGAATGTTCCGCAATCTTAACATTCGCAATGCCTTCTTTATCCGCTCATGAGAAGCTTTGTTAACCGAGACATCGAACAGTAATTAGCAGGCTGGTTTCAGAGGCTGGTTTGAATTTGTGTGTGTTTTTGTTGTTGTTAAGAAAACAGAGCAAGCACATGACCGAGCGAAATCGGGGATACAAAAGCGGCAATTAAAGCGGGATACATCTGCGAGATTATTCTAATTGTGTTAACTCGCGGTGATGGGCGACAAATCAGTTTTTAAAAGGAATTACTAAAGAGGCATCCCCGGAACGGTGGCGCGGTATTGTGTCGCTTTTGTTCGGAGCGCGGCCGCGGGGATTGGCACGGGACCCACGCCTCCTCCTCCTCGTCCTCGCACGGCGATCGCTACCCCCCCACCCGCCGCCTCACCATTCATCGCAAATCCTTGCACGCGCGGCGCGGAGCGGAGAGCGAGCGCAACGCTGCCTCTTGACAGCGCCGGCGGTCGAGGAAAAGCCTCCGAATGAAGAATGCGGCGAAGTAAACGCCGCGTCGCAGGCGGCGTGACGTGGCATGAAGACAAACGGCTTAGAGGGGTCGGATTGAACTAAAGATTTTTAATTATTTTATTATTATTATTTAGTTTTTACCTGGTAAGATAAAATTAACACATGAAACAAACCGCTTCTGCCAAGAACACTATTTCTTCCGAGGCAGCTTTGTAGTCTGGCTTGCACGCTGACACACACCGTGCCCCCGCGTTCATATTGAGTCAGATGTAACAATTACGATAATACTTTTTTTATTTATCCAAGAAAGCCTCACTTCGTCTCAAGACCCTTTAAATTTCAGGAGGATGCCGTGTCAAAGGGTTGTTTCAGCCGATAAACGCGCTTCGGAGAGATGAATGGGCCAGTGAAGTATGGCCAACCAACACCCACGACTGGCTCAGTGTGCTGGGCATCTCATCCAGCAGTGGATTAGCAAGTTATTTTATAAGTTAAAGAATGCCTTGACTTGTGAACTATGTAAATGGGGATGGGGTACCGCTCACCATCTTCTGTTCCCATGAGCCGGTGGTGGAAATTTTCACTGTCGGATTCCCACAAATGTTTTTGAACCCTGGAGAAAGTAAATCATCACTTGCAGGCTACTGCACAATCGCTGCGTATGCCTTGTGCCCACGCAGGGACGGCTGCTACTGGCGGCAGCAGGGCATTGGAAGGGAGAGCTGTGATGTAAGGCGTTTTGAGTTGCTGAGGCTTTAATGTCTCTGCAAATGCAAATCATTATCCTTACCGCACCTTGATTGACGTGGTGAATCTGGTGCTTGCAAAAAATTCACGATGATTACATCGTAATGCTCCACAAAGATGAACTGATAGGTTTTGTATGTTACTGATGTTTCCATTGAATAGGCACCCACCTTGTAGTGGGAGTGCTCTTGACAATAACGTCTGGCAACTCAGTGGCTAACGCTCTTGATAAGACCAGCCCAGAGTTATTCTTGGTTCTTTCGGTAAAGTCACGTAGAAGAAAAATAATAAAGTAATAAAAATAAAACATAATAAATACAATTCTCACGACGTTTCGGCCACAACGCAAGCAGCCGTCCTCAGCTGAAGAACAGGTCTGTCGTCATTCAGACGCTGTCTCCCCGACAGACCCGGTCTTCACCTGAGGACGGCTGCTTGCGTTGTGGCCGAAACGTCGTGAGAATTGTATTTTATTATGTTTTATTTTATTATTTTATTATTTCCCTTCTACGTGACTTTACCGAAGGAACCAAGAAGATGAATCTCTGCAGTCACGAAAGCTTTGAATCGAAATTTCAGCCCAGAGTTATTTTATTTTTGTTTAAAAAAAATTGTGCTGCTGGAAAACTTTGGCTCATGAACTAATTTTCATTTTACACGGGAAGACGAACGGAAGTCTAGATATTTATTTCCGAGCAATGCAGGCGATGTATGCATAGCCAGTCAGATTTGTTTATAACTCTGGTGGTAATGTCGTCACCGTGAAAAACAAACTGGATCTGTAATCGAGTACCTCGTCACATACCCAACTAATTACCTTTGGCCAGTAAGAACACTCAGCTGCTAGAAAACCCCCCACTACTTATCGAGAAACACACACACACGTGTGTGATGCTCGCATAACTTGTGAGAGAGACAACCAATGCAATCCCACCGTTATGACAAAAGGAAAAAAAGACATCCAATCTGCAGTACGAAGCCGGCAAGACCGAAATGAAATTACCAAAGAAAGTTGGCACGCGTTGGTGACTGGCAAGCCATCATGACCCCTGTTAAGCAGCTCTCGACGAAACAATATTGGACGTCAACATCAAAATAACGTGATCACATCGCGGCAGCGGTGACTGCTTGCCCGGCGGCAAAGCCGTTCGGCCAAACGCCGGTCAAACTGATTGAGACCGAACAAAAACTTCGAAAAAAACCTCTCTTCCCCTTCAACAGCGTCTCTCCGATGCAATCTTCGCTCTGCCGTGAGCAAACATCGACACGAAAGGCCGAGTCTGCAGCGTGCCGCGGGAAGGGGGGCATTGGCTCAAGTGCGTTGCGGGCTAAGCGGCAGCCAGGGCCGGTAGAGGAGGAGGGGGGGGGGGGTCACGGAGGGAGGGAGCAGCATCGCTATTGGGCTCACGGAGCCCGGCGGGGCCTGTCAGTCGCGGTGGTGTCTGCACGCTGACGACGTGAGCTGCCTGCCCCGCGGTGGCGAAGGCTTCTCGTGTACGTATTAATCACAATAATGGTCACAGCGTGTCACGGAAGGCAGCCCCCCCCCCCTAGCGTTCTGGGGTGGGGGCTGGGGGAGGTGTAGGGAAGGGGGGGTCGAGAGAAGACTCAGCCCACCCTTCTGAATTGTTATGGTGAAGTTAAAAATTATAATTGGGATAATATATAAAACGAGTGAAATAGAGGGTTAGTTAAAAGTGCACAAATGAGTGTGATTCAGTGTTGGGCATTTCAGGTTCTTCCCATACACACCCGGTGGGTGGGTGGTAGAGCAAAATGGGTGGTATACAAGAGCAGATCGCATCGTTACTCATTTTGTTTTGCTGAGCATTCAACGTTTGTTTAAAGCTTGTTAAACATTGACTGTGTCGTGCCCCCCTCCCTCCCTAATCTCCCCCTACCCCCCGGAGTTATTGTACAAAATGCGGTCACACTGCAGCGTAACCCTGCAGGTTTCAGGCTGCAGGGTCACGCTGCAGAGTCACGGTGCAGGGTCACGGGGTCACGCTGCAGGGTCACACTGCAGGGTCACGCTGCAGGGTCACGGGGTCACGGGGTCACGGTGCAAGGTCACGCTGCAGGGTCACGCTGCAGGGTCACGGGGTCACAGGGTCACGGTGCAAGGTCACGCTGCAAGGTCACATTGCAGGGTCACGCTGCAGGGTCACGGGGTCACGGTACAGGGTCATGGGATCACGCTGCAGGGTCACGCTGCAGGGTCATGGGGTCACGGGGTCATGGTGCAGAGTCTCACTGCAGGGTCACGCTCTAGGGTCACGCTTAAGGGTCACACTGCAGGGCTGCTGGGATGCCACGCCGATTCTCAAGGCTCTTTCAGAGGACGATCCTGCGTGGTGAGATGTTGGCCAATTTCTTGAATGTTTTGAATGAGCTGGCCCTGGTGAGAGTGTGTAGAGGAGAGAGTGGGCCCTGCGCATTTTACTCTGAATGTGACGTCAGTCAGATTCGCCAGTGACGTCCGCCTGCATTCACTTTTTTTTGCAAGAGGGTTGTCAAATTGAACGGACGTGAAACGGCGACATGCCGTATAATTACATTAGACATTAGAGGCGTAATGATGCGGCGGACTCATGAACATTGATTCTTAACTTCGCGATATTACGGGAACGGTGCGCACGAAAACACTCGACCATTTTCCAGCTGATATATCTGTCGTGCGTAACAGACCCATGTGACTTTTACAGCGGCGAGAGGTGGCGACGTCACAATAAAAAAAAACATTAATCATTTATTCATCCTAACCCGTGGCACTAGAATCGTGATAAGTAACGGAATCATCAGGGTGCGGGTCACGAATCATCATCCCTAGGCAACTCGCTTGTCGCCATTTACAATCAGATCTCGTTCGTATGTGTGTATCATTTGCGTCGTCTTTTAATGACACATTCTGTCTTTCTTTTGCATCCTTGCGTTCTATCAGCCTAAAAGTGACATTTTCATATCGGTTGTGAAAGAAAAAAAAGCCAATGCATCATTGATCATATTCCTGGTAAATCAGCGTGCGTACCGCGAGCATAAGAAGCGATGTTAATCGTCGCGCGTCAGAAAATAAACCACACGCTAACGTATAAAACCGAGTAATAGAAAACTGAAAAAAAAATTGCGTGCTGAAGAAAGTAAGAACCGCCGCGACAACTTACAGACTTGAGCCGCTTGATGGCTTCCTCGCACACTTGCATCCCCCTCGAGTCTTCCACCTCCACGCAGCCCAGGTACTGCCCCGCACAAAGACAAAGACAACGATCCCCTCTATTATAGACTAAACAGACTGTTAGCAAGCACCTATGAAGGCCAGAACGGCACATGACAGAGTGGGTGGGTGGGCGGCACCACGCCCGGCCGCCTTTGTCTCCCTAGTGGCGATGTTCACACATCGCACCAGGTGCTCATGTGAAGCTGAGTCGACCTAGGGGAGGCCAAAGACCGGTTCAGATAATCGTCATTGGTGTTGGCTGTGAGCGGGAATCGAACTCGGGTCGCCGAGTTATAAGGTGCAGTGCTCTCAACCACGACTGCCCCGTCCAGGACACGCAAACACGTTCAACCAACTTTCAATTCAGCTTCACCCTCATTTATGGTACGTTTTTGCGTGCCGCTATTTACGACACCACTCACTCACGGCCCGCTTTTCATCGCCGCCACCCATTCCCACCAACTGCGCTCGTCAATCGGCCAAACATCCCACCGCAGGGGGCTCCTGTCGACGAGTCTTGAGACTCGGCGAGGCTTGCACATAGAAGAAGACCTGGTGATGCGGGCAGTGACGAAAAGGAAACTGGAACTCCTCCTCTCCCCCCTACTCCCTCTCATTCCCCTCCCCCCTTCGCACTCCCACTTCATTTCTAGGTCAGTTTGCTCATTAAATAGATTCGGAGCTGAGACAATTAGTCAAACCAAGTCGAGCAATGGAATTAAAATGCCTCCCCTTTCATTACACGGAGACGGTTGGAATAGTACGAAAACAATTCCCACGTATATGTGTGTGTCTATTTCAAGCGTAAAACAAGCCGTGCCAGAGTCAGACTCGCCACTGATGTCCCGCTTGCTTCGCTGAGGGACACGTCCCGGGCATTGACCCTGAAGGACGGACAAAGGGTAAAGGGTGCAGCCCCTGCAACAGCTCGCTCACGCACACTGCTGGCGGAAGGTGCTCCACTCGAGGAGGCTCTAGGAACAGCCTCTCTCAGTCCTCAGAGGTCTTTGGCCTACTCTTCCATGCTGGCAGAACATCTGGGAAGAGGAGACAGTACCCACACTTTATCCCCCGCCACATTAGCCTGCCAATCCGGCTCACGTTGTTGCGGCAAGTTTTTACTGCTGGATTGGCGAGAGGCGGGGGGTGTGATTTCAAAGAGACTTGCACCGATTTTTTTCAACTGCCCCTGCCAGAAAATCAGACCGGCGACCTCAGCTTGCTAACCATTGCAGCCCACCCTGGTTGGGTTTTAACTACACTGCCCGAGAGGGCTTTGTCTGCTGTGTGGCAGGCGAGAAAGCACAGCAGCGGTGGCATTAGGCAAAAACGGACCCAGGGAGGAAAAAAAATATCGCTGTCACTGCAAGTTTTCCCTTCGCTCTCTGAGAAACCCCGAGGGACTGTGACATTCTGACAAACTCACGGCGTCAGCGATCTAAATTCACAGCAAATGAGGTGCTAATTACGATTAAAATTAGTGGGGGCGGGGGTGGTGGGATTCAATTTAAATTCGCCTCGGTAGAGGAAATTGGAGCGATGCTCCGTGCCGACGCTGGGGCAAGAGCGTCAGTAATTCCAGAACGTGTCTCTCCTGGTTCCTGGGCTTTTGTGCCCCACGGCTAATAGCTGGGCTCGGCATCGGTGCACTGAACGAAGGGCATGCGAGCGTAAACACGAGAAAATTAAGGTCAGTCGAGTGTTCACCGTGGGCTCTGTGTGTAGGTATGTGGTGCCCAAAGGTAAACTAATTCTATTTTGATATATATACTGGACCGTACAGAGGTGTCGGTGTAATTAGCGAATTGTGCTATGAACCCCAGAGCATAATAACACTAAACGAGCTATTTACGTGCCAAAACCGTCACCCATTATATATATATTTTCCCTTTTAATGCCACGGTTTTATTGACGAATGTGCTGAGCTTTTAATAAAACGCAAATAAATCCACCAGACGCCGGAAACACCGCTGCAGCACCTCCAATTAGCGCAGTTGGCCACGTACGGTGCGTGAGAAGTTCAGCGTCATGCACACAACACATTGTTGAACCCGGTGGTGCGCGCACGCTCTTGTGTGCGATCCAGCGATAGACACCAGGAGCAGCGAGATGGTGATCTGAGGATCGTGGACGCGTGGATCTGCGTTTCCTTTCTCCCCTGTTCCATTCCATTTTTCCCACTCAGAATCATGGATCACGATGATACTCGGTGTACATACGGAATATAGAGAACACTTTCTAACGGTTATTATACAACATTTGAGTTCTGGTCTCTATCACGGTATATTATTTGCGTGTTTTTCTGTTCTAAGCAAGGCTTAATTTACGGCTGGAGCTCTGCTGGACGGAGGAAGTAATCACCACCCCCGCCACCCGTTTTTGTCTGGGGGTAAGGGGGGGAGAAAGGGATGGGGGGGATGGAATGGGAGGTGGGGGGTGAGGGAGGGGGGATGAGGAGGGATGGGGTAACAAAGCTGAGGGATGATGATGGAGAGGTCACAAGGCCCCGGAAAATATTCAGTAAGAAATTAGCCCCCGATTCTAAGGCAGTGTTAATGCTGCTTTGTGATATATATATGTGTGTGTGTGTATATTTCAACATCCCATGCTCACAAGTTGTTGACCTCCCATCTAAACATCCGCCACTCCCACAGGAAAAAAACATCCTCCCGCCGCGTCAGACAGAGCGCGCTCTGGAATGACTGATTGGCCACATGGGCACCGCCGAGGCGCACTCTGGCAAGCGCGGATGCACTCACAAAGCCGAACGAATGAATAAATAATGATCCACCTTATGCGCACTCGAGAATCCAGCGAGGCCCTCACATTGCGATGTGTACCGCATGCGGCGTCCTTGCGACTCGACGGACTGTTGAGTCTGCGACCAAATGCGCTTTTTGTGTGTGTTCAGTTTGTTGTCCTTCCCCTGCACCTCCGATTAGCACGGTTGGCTACGTACGGTGTGTCAACGCACTTACGACCAAATCGCCCTCAATGCGCCCGATCTCGTTGGATCTCGGAAGCTAAAAGCAGCGGTTGAGCTTGGTGGACAGCACACGGACCTGGATTTGCGTCGGCTTGCGCCGTGACGTGGCCAGCACAGCAACGGATCATTGAATCCATCTACGGGGAGCTTTGTGTTCGCCCCGTCGTGCGTGGTGGGTTTTCTCCAGCTACTCCGGCTTCCTGCCATATGAAGCTGAACACTCGATACTAGGATTGGCCAAACATCCCCGTGCAGGACTCTCCTGAACAATAGCCTCGAGACTTCAGCGTATCTTTCCTGATTAAATAAAGTACATTATTGTTAGACGAAGACCAAATCAGCCCGGATAGTGCTCGCTTGGGTATCTTTCCCACACACGCCAGGTGTTATAAGCTGCAGTGCTACGTGGTGGGCGGAAGAGGGCAATTCAGCAGAATCAATTGTTGCACTGTGCTGCTATGTTCCCGTGACTATGCCCCGTGCCTCCATCAACCCACACTGACCAGCGCAGAGAAGCACCGGCCAAACTAACCCACACGGGGCTCACGTGACCCATGTGAGGAGGCCTTCGTCCATCAGTGGCTTGTGCGTGGCCATGCGCATTCAAATAAATAAATAAATATATAAATAAATAAATATCGCCGGTCCCTTCTCATTCCACAAAGGAATGGACGAAGTCCTCCCCCATGCAATGATGGTCAGGGAAGTTTTTTTGGTTTTCACCACACACTTCACCACGCTGGTCCACGTACATGAAGCACTATGTACGTGTGTATAGATGTTGAACGTCCGTCGCACCACAGGACCTGCATTGCCACGATCATTAATACGACCACCCACAGCGCGATGACTCACCTTGACAGGGAAGCTGCATTGCCCGCGTCTCACCGCCTCCTCGTCCGACTGCCACTGGTGAGGGCGACTCGCCTCCGGGACGTAGTTCTCTTTCCTCTGTCTCAGACTCTGCCTCAGTCTGTGCATTGCTCCTCTCTCTCTCTCTCCGTCCCCTCTCTCTCTCTCTCTCGTCTGCTCGTCGTTTCTTTGGCAATCTGTCGGTCGCTCCCTCGCCGCACCGCAGGCCGTCTCAGATTTCTCCGCAGTGGGTGGTGGGGGGGGCGGGAGAGTGGAGCGCGTTGATCGGCGGTGGCGGTGGAGATTAAATGGAGAGTTCCGTCGATGCTGCCAACCTGTCGGAAACGGAGCCAATGTCCGGGGTAGCGGAGTGGGTGGGATGAGGCAGGTGGAGGAGAGGGGGGAGGAAGGGAGCAGAAAGAACGACACACACATACACAGAGGAACACACGGAGCAGTCATCGTTGAGAATGCGGCGCTCTGCCAAACACGGGAAGGTTCGGCGCCGCCAAAACCACCGATGGAAATCGCCGCACCACAGGCAGCGCCGAGAGACAGGCCACAAATTCAGCAGCGGCACAATCACTGACTCACAGCCAGCCTGACAGCGAGGGCATTCAGTCGACACATACAAAACGCTGGGGTCGGAGCAGTGGCACAGTGGTTCACGCAACTGCACTATACACCACATTCACCAGCCTGCACCAAGGAGCATGACGAAGAATGGTCAAACAAATCCCCTCACTTGGCACAGCATTGGAAGGCCTTCACCCAGCAGTGAATTTACAGAGATTGCTGAGAATATATGATTCGTGTTAATATTTCAATTGTTTTATGCGTGCATGTTCTTGAATATGTACAATATCTAGAGTTACAATGCATGACTTCTCAGGAATAACTTTCTATTTTAAAGAAATAAATACGCAAATAAATGTGCTTAGCTGAAAGGATCAATCTCTTGTCGTTTGCTACGTAGCTTTGAGTCATATTATTCTCTTTCTCAAGAAAAAATTATATTTTATATTCACCTGGCAAAATTAACGGTGAACGTTAGGCCACGGACATGTTGATGCCCCTCATACAGAGTTTATGAAACAAATCACAGTTATAAATATCTTTGTCAGTTAACTCTACAAAAATTATGGCTGGAATTGAATGTTTATTGACGTCGGATATAGATTTACATTTTAATTGTACACAGAGTAAGGCAGGGAAACACAGGCCTAAGGGAGCAGGATGAGACCGGCTATTGCGAGAATTTGGCAAGACTCAGTCAGTGAGGCTTTCTGGGTTAAAATTAAAATAAAAAAAGTAAAACAACAACAAGACACGGGCCGCCCAATTGGAACCCGTCACGTGTAACCCAGCTGAGCGCTCACAGCGATCACATTGGCAGGGCAGTCGCGCGTGCCCTGCATGCAGCAACGAGCTGGCGCTGCAAGCCTCCCAGGTGACCCCCGGGTCCCTCCTACCTGGCCCGCCAAGGCCATCTGCCATGCACCTGGGCAGCCCATACCCCATGCAGTCGAGTAGGTAAAGTTGCAGCCTTGCAATTATTCGCTCACGCCACTGTTGGGAGAAGGGCCTACGCTAGAAGGGTAGTTTTAGACGGTCACTCTCGACGGCATTTGATCTATGGTAAATATACACTATGGAAAGAATTTGGGAGTACCCACACTTTACCATCACCGGTGCACGCGACCAACGTAATTGACTCACGATGCTGTACCCATGTATAATGCTGGGTGGACAGAGTATGCGGGAGGCGGATTTGAGATATCCGTACACATTTTCAACCACCGTGCCGGGAGATCAAAAAGTCCAGTGGCGCTTACCATTACGCCCACGGCAAGTGTGGCAACAACGGCATCTGAAACGATGTGGCAGCGGTCTGCCGCAACTTCAAAGGACGCGTGCAGCAGAGCCATCTGTGTCTGTGTTGTGTGAAAGCAGCTCGGCTGAAATTAGACTCAGCTGTGCTTTTATAATATTGCTGCTGCTGCTGCCTGCCTGCCTGCGAGGGGGTAATCATGTTGACATGGCGCACCAGCCACAGAAACGTGCCAGAAAGCAGTGTCATGTTAATTCGGAAGAAGAAGAAAAACATCTCATTAGTGGAGCGGCCTGGGATTAAACACATTTCATTCACTTGGCCCATTGAATCACCGGGAGAAAGAGACGTACACTCTCCCTCTATAAATATACTAAACTATGTTTTACTTTACCAGGTAAGGCCCACTCAGCTATATAGCTCTTTATCAGAAGGGACCTGGACACAAATGTATAGCATCCAAATACTCTAAATGCATGCATCTGCAGAAAATAATCGCAAACGGGTGGACAAATACATTTCCATGGCGTGTGGGCTGGATAGTTTTCAAAGATGCTGAACATAATAGCAGTCTAAATGCACTAAATTCTGCACCGGGTTTTCAACAAAGAACCAACCCAGCAAAGTGCTTCACGACATCACGGGAAGGGGGCCTTCAAATATAAGAGTGTCCGTGCAAGCCGAATTGACCCACTCCATTATTAAATTCAGAGATATAAATTACTAATAGCCCTTTGTGAGTCCACTTCTAGATGAAGGCCTCCCCACCCACAGGCACCAGTTAACACATCGCCTCACCACTGATGTTAGCCGCGCTAATCAGAGAGATATACCAAAGCTTAACAAATTGGCGAATGAATAGTAAAATATAGAAACGTGAGATTCAATAAGCCTGGCCCAGGAGCTCAGGACCGAGAGAGATGATGGACAGCTTGGGGATGAACTTCATCCAGCAGTGAATTGTTCATTACTGCCAATGATGCTATTAAATAGAAAATAAAGTCTTCTAACTTTTCTTATTAACGGATTCAACCCTGCTGGACTCCTGATAGCCAGAACAAGTACCTTTTATTTTCGCGTATTTCAAATGGATATTCTCTCCTGTGACCTTCATCTGAGTGCCAATTCTATTGAGCTGCTCTTAATGGATTGCATCCCCTAACCTCCACCACAATGCAAATGAAGCGACCCCTCTTACCACCACCACCACCACCCAACCACCACCCAACCACCAACCAAACCGCCACTCCCCCCATCATCTCCGATTAGCACGGTTGGCTACGTACGCTGTGAATGAAGTTCAATATGCATCACTTTCAGACACCCCCGACTTCCCCCCCCCCCCCCCCGTGCTCAACCATGATTCATCCACTGCTGGACGAAGGCTTCCCCAAGCCGTCACCATCTCTCACAATCCTATTTGGCTGCTATACACTTCCGCACGATAAGCCACTTCGTTGAGATTTCCATTTGTGCCCAGGTCGCTTCTGAATAAGAGAGCAATATCTCTCAGTGGGCTTTAACTGGTTAAATAAAAAAAAAACTTAGTTTAACATTTTAATTGAATGGCTCTATCTCCTTTGTGCGCTACACCTCTTGGCTGCTACCCACTCATCACGATACCCGACCATCGGCCATCATCCTTCCTAGCGACGTGTCCTGCCCAAGTCCTATCGCTTTTATTGACGTTCATCATTGCATCTGTAACCTGCTCAACGCTCTCTCAGCGTGTTCTGTAGACGAGTCCACAAAAATGTTCTCCAAAATCGCGATTAACGCTGCCTCATAATTAACAAGATAAACATGAATCAGAAAATGTATTTGTACTGGAGGAATCCGATGAGCTATAAAGCTCTTTTTTCACAGATGTCCAGTCGGGGCACGGGGTAAGAACGTTACAACAACAACCAGTACAAAGACACGAGTGCAAAGTACAAGCGAGGTAAGACACATCACCAAAACATAAACTCAACCATCCCCATCCTACCAGGCCAAGCCCACTGAGGTATCAACTTCTTTTTCACAAGCGACCTGGCCCACAAATGATAGCTCAACAAAGTGGCCCATCATTTGGACACTTACAGTCCCCAAATCATCTAAAACAAGCTGACGGTTCGGGCTATGGCCCTGCTTCAGAGCCGACCATCGGCCGCCCCCAAATCCCTTCTGGAAGCCGCGCTGCACTTAACAGTTCGAGCGGAATCTCTTTAAATCTCGGCTTGGTGTTTAACCCCAACAAACTCCACCGCTCCACGCTTTCGCGGGAGGGCAACAGGAGACCGCGCCACAGTCAACATTCCTCAAAGACAAATCCGCTACCCCCATCACCCAAACCCCCCCACTGTGATTTCATTAACGGTATCAATGGGTGGACAGATGCAGGACCCCCCCCCCCACACGCACACCCCCACCCCATCCACGGGCACCTGTCACACAACTGCGCTTGGTTAAAAAAAGCCACCGCTTCTCTTTGTGACACCACGGGACCAGAGAGAGAGAGAGAGTAAGAGAGAGAGTGAGAGAGAGAGTGAGAGAGTGAGAGAGAGTGTGAGTGAGAGAGTGAGAGAGAGAGTGAGAGAGTGAGAGAGAGAGTGAAAGAGTGAGAGAGAGTGTGAGTGAGAGAGTGAGAGAGAGAGTGAGAGAGTGTGAGTGAGAGAGTGAGAGAGAGTGTGAGTGAGAGAGTGAGAGAGAGTGAGAGAGTGTGAGTGAGAGAGTGAGAGAGAGTGTGAGTGAGAGAGTGAGAGGCTATACGGGGGATCTTTGGCTTTGTTTTCGTGCAATGTAGGCCTCCCGTAGGTCGACTCAGCCTGAATAGGTACCTGATGCGGTGTGTAAGCATGAGCACTGGAGAGACAAAGGCGGCCCTGCGTGGTGCTGACCCCCCCCCCCACATACCCCCCCCCCCTCTCATTTGCCGTTCCGGCCTTCATAGACGCCCGCTAACAAGCACTTGCCCCAACATTGTGTATGTGGGGCTATCATCATCATCGTCATCATCACCATCCATCATCATCGTTTATTCGTCATACCACGCCTCCCTCGCAGTGAAATCTCGACGCGCCGTTTGAGATAATCACTCGGTCAGAAAGTTCCTGCAGATCAAATACGACGTGCAAAGGCGAGGAGGTATAAACGGGGATTGTGTTTCTCACTCAATATTTTGCAGAACGTGGGCTAGGACTGGATAGAAGTAGGGATCGTCAGCGTAAGGCACTACCACTAAGAGTACAAGGTACACTTATCCACATTAATACTCTCCGTAATATTGTACCCTGCATTGCACACCACCTCACTCACACACCACAGCACTATCACGAGGATAGAGTAAGGCGAGATGGATATGGTGCACGTAAATAATTTCTGGAATAGCACTCCGGACTGTTCCCGCTGGAATGAAGGCACTGGTTAGATCCGTTGTGCATGCTGGAATAATGGTCTGCACAATTGGGACTTGTAGAAATATGTCTCTCTTCTCCTTGTGCTCTGAAGGAGGAGCGTAGCTTG